CACATTATAATGTGTTTTACCCTACCCCCCCAAAACCCCCCCCCCGGCTTTGGGTGTTGGGGGAATTCTGGGAGTTGAAGTCCACACATCTTAAAGTTGACAAGGTTGAGAAACACTGATTTTAAGCATTAAAGGAGGAAGAGAGTCATGGCATTAAATCTAGTTTCCAAATAACTCAGTGCATCTAATACAAAGAATCCAGTTCAATTCTGAAAGCAAGAGAGGAAAATACAGCTGACCAGGACACATGAGTTCCAAAGAGAAAGAAACTATGGATCTCCACCTCACTTCAGGACCAACCCTAGTTCCCATCAACAAGACTTTTATTTATTTACTAGATTTTTCTGCTGCCCCATTCCTGCGGGCTCTGAGTGGTATACCCTCACCAGAAAAAAAAAGGATCAAAAACACTGTAAAATTGCCACCTTATAAACTAAAAACAACAGGTATCAACAGCATCATCTATTAAGAGCAGGTCAGAATATTGCTAAGGAATACCACCAATTAGACCACAAATTTTAAAACATTTTCAGGCCGTGGGAGCTATGGGTTAAAAGAAAAAATTTCCCAGAGGTTCTGATCAAGGGGCAAGGCTCTAATGATAGAAAACTGGCTGCATTTGAGTGAACTTTTTCCCCTTTCGTTCTTTGATGGAAACCCATCAAGTTCTCACAGAACACAACTTGAAAAACCCTGAATTAGGCTATGTCCAGTGGCTTAAAAGCGTCCCTAATATCTTCATAACATTAGACATAGGTATATTTTGGTGCATGCTAATTTATTTACACAACAACTACACATACTTCGATTAGCTACTTCAATTAATATTTACCAAAATATTAGTCAATCAGAGAGCTTTATTTCGATAAGCCACATACAGGTAGTCCTCGACTTATGGCCACAATTGGGACCAGAACTTCCATCACTAAGCAACATGGTTGTTAAATGAGTTACTCCTGATTTTACAACCTTTTTGCTGCGGTTTTTAATGCGAATCACATGGTCGTTAAGCAAATCAGGCTTCCCCCATTGACTTGCTTGTCAAAAGCCCCCGGGAAGGTTGCAAATGGCGATCACGTGACCCTAGGATGCTGCAACCATCATAAATATATGCCAGTTACCAAGGACCCAAATTCTGATCACATGACCATGGAGATACTGCAACGGTCATAAGTGCAAGGACTGGTCATAAGTCACCTTTTTCAGCACCGTTGTAACTTCAAACGGTTCTTAAATGAATGGTTGTAAGTTGAGGATTACCTGTACATAAAAATGGAGGAAAGTTTTCACAAGAAGGCAAGATGTTACAAAAATAAAAAAAAAAACCTGAGGGGGAAGGAAAAAGAGGGAAAAGTAAAAAAAAAAAAAGTTGATCACATACAAATTATGAAATATGCATGGTCAGAATCAAGTGGAAAAAGAGTTTTGGAAACAGTTGGTCCTAATGTCAGAATTGCCTCAGAAACCAAACAAGGGTTGGTTAATATTTGGATAGGAGACCACTAGGGAATCCCAAGGACATCAGCTACAGTAAAACAAAACCAAAACAAAAAGCAAATCCAAAAGAAGGCCGTGGCAAACCACTTCTGAACTGCTGCCAAAAACGATATGGATGAATCCATACAAATAACTAGGAAGTCAGCTCAACTTGCAGGAAACATTATTTTTGCATAATGACCATTTTCTATTGTCATGGAATTTCTCTTCTAATCAGTACAGCTTACATCAACTGAAATATTACCAGCAAAGTTAAGGAGTATGTATGGTATCTATCCTATCATCCCCTTTCTGGTTGTTTCCAGATGTGTGGGGAGATCCCATAACACCTGGAAAGCATTAGAATGGGAAAAGCATGACAGGGGTTTGAAAGCAAATGGGCTGATCGTAGGCTCTTTGAATACAGATTTACCTGCCTTGTTCTCACAGCTGCACTTGTGTACTAAAGGTCTGGCTACAAACCCACAAACTACCATTATTTTGTTTGATTCATATTTGGATTTTCTTGCAGGAGTTCAAGGCTACATACGTAACACTCCCTGCAATTTTATTCCTTGCGACAACTATGGAGTGACAGAGAGTGACTGGTCCAAAGTCACCCAGTCATCTTTTGTGGCTCCAAAGACGGACTTGAACCTCGTCTCTCTGGTCCTAATCCAACTCATTAACCCCTACACTACACTTGCGTGTATCTAGGGAAAGACCACAAAATACTTCCCTTCCCTTCAAAATCCTCCAGTAGTTTGATATGGAATTTCCCAACAAAAACTGACCCTAAACTGAACATGGCCATCTCTTTCTTCTTTCAGGGAAATTTTACCTGAATGCAGCTTTACATCAGTAACAAAATCAAAGCTTTAACTTAACCAGCACAGTTCAGCATCAAAAATTAAAATATTCGGATACAAAACTATAGGAGTAGGGTCGGTGAGATCCTTTATGGATTTCTAATCAATACATTATGATTTTTTCAGATGATCCCCAAGACTAGAAAAGCAGTCTTACTTTCATTCATATGCCTAAAAAAACAGAGACCAAATCCAATATTTTTGGATGGTCCAAAAAGGTCCATCCACAGAAAGCCAGGGCCAGATGCAGAACCTATCCATGAACTGGCTCCTATATCACACTTAGCCATACTGTGCTCTGCTTGTTTTGTCTTATTTTGGTCTGTATCCCCAGCCAATCTGATTTATAAACCATCCTTTTGGCTTAGCAGGTCAAGTAAACCTGGGCAACTGGAGCTTATTCAACAAGTCAGCTGAATGCAATGGGTAATCCCAGCCAATGTTAGAGAAGACTCTCCATCTGCAAGTCACTTAACACCAGGAAAAGGGACCCGAAGCATCCTTTACACCAGTGTTGTCCAAACTTGGCCACTTTAAGATGAGTGGACTTCAACTCCCAGAATTCCCCAGCCAGCAAGGCTGGCT